CTGTGCACCTGCGTATGTGTCCACAAAGAGAATCTTAGGCTTTGGGGATGTGATTATTTCACCGGTAATTATCCAAATCATCATGTTGATTGTTGCTCCAGCTGAAGCCTGACAGATTTTCCAGAGATCCCCTTCAGAGATCAGTAAGAAAAACACTGAAATCTATCGTAGCAGCTGATCATCCCTTGCACTCAGTTTAGAAAGAGGCCTATATAAACTTTTCTTCTGCTCAAAGTTAGGGCTGGCATTTAGAAAAGGCATAGCTGGTCTGTGTCAGTCTGATGCTAGGTGCTATATCTGTTCATGCTGAAGCCAGCTATGGGGTCTTCATCTCTGAAGTCAGACACAGTATGAGGAATTTTGACCTCTGTCCAGACAGCTTTTTCTGCTAATGCTCTTGACTGGATACAGAACTAATAGAAGGTTATTTGTACCCAAAATGCTGCTGCTGCTTCTACTGCTTCACGTGTCTTGTTGGGTCCCAGTGAAACAAAAAATGGATCTCTCAGGTCTACGAAGGTATCCAAATAATTATTACAGACCAGGAGATTACCTTATTACCGGAGTTGTACCTACGAGAACAGCTGTGTACCCATCACATACATTCAGTTCTGACCCCATCAGAAACTTCTTTCCGTAAGTGTTGCTTGCTGGCTGATTTGTTCTCAGTCACTTCTGGCTGCTAGTAAATTCTATGTTTTGGTTAACCTCTCAGAAGACAGTGGAATGTTTCTGCTGCCTTCTTGTCCTTTAGTTCTGAAGGGTGTTTGCAGTGTGACGAGGATTCACCCAGAGATTTACAAATGAAATAAGCTGCAGTATAGAGCATAAGAACAGCAATACTGGATGAGACCAGAGGCCGATACTTTGCTCCGATGTTGCCTCCTAGCACTGGTTTTCAGGTTTCCTGCCTCTGGATATGGAGCTTCCCTTTACTCACCATGGCTAGTAGCCATTGAGGAACCTCTCCTCTCCATGAATACATCTACCTCCCCTTTCAAGCTACCTGTGGCCTTCACTACCTCCACTAGCAGTGGATTCTACAATTTAATTACTTGTTCCTTTTCTCTGTCCTGTACCTCTTACCCATCAACTTCTTTGTAGACCCCTGAACGTAGCAGTTAGAATGCCAGACCAGAATCCAGAAGACCTCATACCTCTGGGAGATCTGGGAGAAGTCTGTATGCGTGTATATGTGTAGGTATGTAGGGTTGGCACTCTGGTTGATTGACTGGCCAAATATTGTCAATTGAAAGTTGAACAGTTATTTGCTGATGACAGCCAACTATTGTCAAATATTCCTTTAAAAACATTGTCAAATATTGTGTGAAATCAATAATGCTATGATATCGGTGGCATCTCGCCTTTTCAATGTCATTACACTATTGTTCATTAGCAAGGCAAGGAATGAGAGCTCTTTGGCTCCTAACAGTGCAGCAGTCAGAGGTAAAATGTCTCCCGCTTGCCTCCTGCTATATCTCCAGAAAGAAAGCCTGTTGCCTATTTAGTAGCACAAGAGTCCTGAGAAACTGAGCTTTTAAATTAGCTGGTGTTACATTACTTTGCCCTGGCATGGTCAGCCCATGTAGGCTAGCTACACTGGTTCTCAGTTAATTAATTAATATTTTAATCAGCATTAGTATAAAATCTGTTCATGTTTACAGTATCTTGTTCTAAAATAGTCCATGCCTTAAAAATACATTTCTATCACAGTGTTTCTCACCTAGTGGTATGCCTGCCACCAATGTGATGCAGAAGTAGTCTAGACCTCTTGGGAAATGCCGTGTCCTTACATTCAGCTGTGAAATATCAGAGATTCTGTAAGGATGCTCTGTCATCTCTTTTTCTGGCACGCATTCTGCATCCCTGGATGTGCTTTTCCATTGCCAACCCTAGTGGCATTACATCCCTACTGCACTTCCTCCTTTCTCCACACTCCATGTGAGAGAGCCAGCTTGGTGTAGGGGTTAAGAGTGGCAGACTCTAATCTGGAGAACCGGGTTTGATTTCCCACTCCTCCACATGCAGCCAGTTGGGTGATCTTGCACCAGTCATAGTTCTCTCAGAACTCTCTCAGCCCCATCTACCTCAAAGGGTGTCTGTTGTGGGGAGAGGAAGGGAAGGCAACTATAAACTGCTCCAAGAGTCCTTCAGGTACTGAAGAGTGGGGTATAAAACCAACTCCCCCTCCTCCTTCATCACGCATACCCCCTCCCCAAATCTCGAGGAATTCCCCAACCCAATGTTGGCAACTCCAAATATTTGACCTCTTTTCCACTGATGAAATGGGCCACATCTTAGTACTTTAACTCTGGTTGATGTTTGCCATTATGTTCCCCTGCAGGCTTGTGGAAAAGAACTACCAGCATGTCCTGGCCTTCCTGCTTGCCATCGATGAGATCAATGCCAATCCCCAGCTCTTGCCCAATATAACTCTGGGCTACAGAATCTATGAAAACTGTTTCAGCTCAAGGATGACTTATGAGGCCACGATAGACCTCCTCTCTACAGGGCACTGGATGGTTCCTAACTTCAGGTGTGGAAGGCAGGAAAATCCATTGGCAGTTATTCAAGGAGGGGACTTTGAGGTCTTTCTCCAGATGGCAACAATGTTAGGCATCTACAAACTCCCTCAGGTGTGTACAGAGAACAATGGGGGATGGGGGCAAGCACATGATGCTCGAACTCTGCCTGTGGTAATTGCAGTCTTATAGGGTTACCACTGATGCCCTCTTTTTAGAGGACATGTCCTCTTTATTTTTATATCCATCCTCGTTTGGGCTCTTTTTAAAAACCTGATAAGAATGTCCTCTTTCTGGCTTGAAAGGTTAGGAATAATCCTAGTTAGTAGCAATTACCACAGCTTAAATAGTAGTGGTATTTCAAATGAGATTTTTCATAGTGATCCCTTGTTTGAAGTACTCAGTTGGAAAAATGTCCTTTTTTTTGCTTTTCAAAATATGGTAACCCTAAGTCTAGGTTAATGTGTGATGCTGGGTTCATGGAACAGGGAAGCTACGTAACCATGTTCTCATTTCTGGAATTATCTGTTGGCATCTCCTCAAGAAAGCTGTGGTAAAAATCTCTTTAGAATATCAACACATGTTTTCCCTCTTTAAGCTTCTCTAGAAAAGTGAGGGCTGGGGCAGGGGGCTTTTAGTAAACACACGAGTTCCTTCCCCCCCCACACACACATTGTTGATGCTACATCCTCATTTTTGTTTATCACAGATTTCTTAGTTGCTAATTTCAACTTTTATTTTATTTGCTCCTGCTTGCCAGTTGGCGGAAAGAAGATACCTTTGAGTGCAGTAACCTGCCTCCCAAATATTGGGTAGAAATGTTTTCATTGATCAAATTAAAAAAAAATAGAATGGAAAGGTTCAGACTTTGTAAATATATACAAAAGAGTACTATTTTATGTGCTAACTTGGTTATATGTAATGTGCTGGCTGCAGTGCTCCTGCAAATGGAGTAAGTAGGGAGAGGCTATTTTTATTGGCTTCTCTCCCCCACCCGCTCCCTAATGCCACTTGAAAAGCCACTCCTGTTGAGTTCCATGCCACGGATGAACTGTTTTTCCTTAGAGGAAACCAGAAAGACAATGTGTTTTATCCAAACGTGTCCTTGCAATGTTTAGGATAGGGCTGCCGGGTTAGGAAATACCTGGAGATTTGGGGGGCAGAGCCTGGGGAGGGAGGGTTTGGGGACAGGAGGGACTTAAATGGGGTATAATTCCATCAAGACCACCTTCCAAAGTGGCCATTTTCTTCAGGGGAGCTGGTCCCTGTTGCCTGGGGATCAGTTGTAATCTTAAGGGATCTGCAGCCACCATCTGGAGGTTGGCAACCTTATGAACACATGATGCTGCCTTACACTGAATCACAGTCTTGATCTATCAAAGTCAGTATTGTCTGCTCAGACTGGGAGTGGCCCTCCAGGATCTCAGGTGGAGGAGGTCTTTCACGTAACCTGGTCCTTTCAGCCGGCAATGCCGGGGATTGAACCTGGGATCTTCTGCCTGCAGAGCAGATGTTCTATCACTCAGCCACGGCCCCTCTCCTCTCACAGGGTAGCTATTGTGAGGATAAAATGGGGGAGAGGAGACTGAGGAAAGCCCCTATGGGTTCCCACTACACAGAAAGGCAGGGTATAAATATTTTTTTTTTTTTAAAAAAATATAACTTTCAATGCCTGAACATTATTTCCAGCACTAAATGTCAGTTCCTCTTTTTAACTAGCTCACGTATGGTTTTGTCAATCATATTTTAAATGATAAAATCCAATTCCCTTCTTCCTACTGGATGAGCCCCAACAAAGCCCCACAATATACGGGGATAGTCAAGTTGCTCCTCCATTTCAGCTGGATTTGGGTCGGCCTCATTTCTCCCTGTGATGATGGAGGTGATAGATTTGTGAGAACCATGAAGATGCTCTTCTCTGAGAGTGATATTTGCATAGCCTTCACTGAGAGGATTCCAAAACTGCATTTGGACTATATGTCTGAGCTGTCCCAAGAACGCTTGCTCCTCCTCCTTGCACACATTACACAGAGGAGAGCCAATGTGCTCATTTATTATGGGGACACCGATTCGATGCTTGTGCTGCCACTCTTGCTAATGCAAATGGAAGAACAAAACGGCATTGCCCTAGGGAAAGTTTGGGTCACAACAGCTCTGTGGGGCTTCACTTTAAGCATGTCTTTTGCCTATTGGGATATCAAATGGTTCCATGGAGCTTTGTCCTTTACAGTCCAAGCCGACAAGAAGTCTGTATCCCAGGATCTTTTTTTGATTCAAGATAACACTCCAATGGAGCATTTATGGTCAGGCATATTTGATTGCTTCACTCCCAGCCTTATTTGGTCAAGGAAGACCTGGAGGAGATGCAAGCAGAAGGAAAGGTCGGATGGCCTCCCCCCAGCTTGGCCTGAAGATATATCTGCTGAGAGCTACACGGTTTACAACTCTGTCTATGTTGTGGCACATGCCTTCCATGCTATGGTCACGTCCACATCTAAACGCAAGGTGAAGGTCAAAGGAGAGAGACTAGACCTGCAGCATATAGAGCCATGGCAGGTAAGAGAAGGGGAATCCATGGAAACTGTAGCTGAAACGAGCAGTGATTGCTTTATTTCAGGCACTAATTCCTTTTATTTAGGCTCTCAGTCAGGATGGTTTCAAACCAGGGTTGGATTGTTGCAACATACTTTATGTGGGGCTGCCTTTGAAAAGCAGCTCAGTAGGTCTAAAACCAAATCAATTGATGATGACAAAATACATAAACAAACAAAAATCACAAAGCTTGTTTCTGCAACTGGCATCTGCCTCAGCGGTGCCAAGTCTACAAGAGAAGGGTAAGCTTATGAAAAACAAAGCAATTAAATAATTAATTTCGTCGTCATCTTCTTCTTCTTCACACGCTCAAATTATTCATCCACGGAAGAGATCTTTTGTTGTATCTCATGTTCTGGTTCTCCATCTGGTAAATATATGCACTTCGTAAACTGATGTATTTTAGTACCTTGGATAATTCCATCAAGTAGAACACTACACCAGGTGTTTTTCCTAGTAAATCTAAGGATACTGGGTTGTGGAATTGTGCATGAGATGCTGGTTTTCCTGCATGTTTTTTTACTACAACACATCTTGAGGTTCTAGGCTCAAGGGGGTTGGATCCCACTTTCCACTGGCAAAAGGAGACTTCTCCGTCTTCTATCAAAGGAAGGCACTCTATGCGGGTGGAAAATTCCACTACTTGCATAACAGACTTGTGGGATCCAGACCAAGGACTGCATCAGAGTCTGTCAGAGAAACAGAATGGGAGCTTGGAAGGACAGGAGTGACACATTCAGGTCATTTGCCCATGTTGACAATGTTGGGGCCTTTTGTCTCTTTGATAGCTTCATCCTTTTCTAAGAGGCATCTGCTTTAACAGTACAACCATGGACGAGGTGCGTTTTGATGAGGATGGGGAACTGGTAGCTAACTACGACCTTATGAACTTGGTCACATTCTCCAACCAGACTGCCAGGAGAATAAAAGTGGGGAGGCTGGAGACCCAAGCTTCTTCTGGCTTAGAGCTGACCATTCATGAGGAGGCCTGTGTATGGCCCAGCTGGTTTAACCAGGTGGGAAATCAATTAGTATGTTACAACTATATAAACTATAGGGGCTAAAAAAAGTCAACTGCAAGCCAGGAAATCCCCAATTCAAATCTATTGGAAAAATTGGCAAAATACTTAGATAATCAGAGTTTGCAATAGATCTTCACTTCACTGGAGAGGAGGCATTTCTTCCTGTGTAAAAATCTTTATTTCTAAGGGAAGGGTACACAGGTTAATATACAAAATAACAAAGAACTAAGGCTACATCTCTACAGCTACAGAACAGACTGACCACCCGGTCTCACAACAGCAACAGCAACAATGGAGATTCTTCTTCTTGACCCCTAGAAGGAAATCACCTGAATACATTAACCAATGATTGTGAGTAAACAGACTTAGATTTCCTGGGCTTTCTTCCCATTGGCTTTGTGCTAGGTTTCCCTTCCAGGTCAGTCTAAACAATAGCACACAAGGTAAACAGATTAACCCTATAACAACTGAATTAGACCTTGCAACACACATCAACAATTAAATCAAGAGGGACCTTAGTCGAGCTACTGTCTCCCAGCGTGAACACCTCATTGTTACATGGGGAAATAACACTAGCTCTTTTTTTAATAGGTTGTTAAATGGGACAATGTATAAGGAGTACTTTGAACACAATGTCAGTGCTAAGTGTCATTATCTGTCGCTGTTCACTGAGCTTATCTTTGAGCTTTCCATAGAAATGTCACACAGCCTTGCATTTGACCCAAAGCTGACAGTGTTTTTTCCCTCCACATCTATATGTGTGTGTCCATACGTATGTCTGCGTGTTTTTATATTGAGTTCAGAAATGTGTACACAGGGTCAATAACCTCCAGATGGGGTCTGGAGATCTCCTGGAATTACAACTGATCTCTGTTCTATAGAGATCAGTTCCCCTGGAGAAAATGGCTGCTTTGGAGGGTGGCTGGGCTCTGTGGCACTGTACTCTGCTGAGGTCCCTCCCTGACCAAAAGCCCATTTGCGCCATGTTCCACCCTCAAATCTCCAGGAATTTCCCAACCTGGAGCTGGCAACCTTATTTGTATGCTGCCTCTCCAGACCGGCTGGAGGCAGCTCACAGCAAGAAACCAAACCCATCAGGGCAGTAAAATAATTCAGTTACAGCTCACATGATAAAATAAGTCTGTAAAAGAGACAACCCAGTAAAATAGATAGATACAAGCTGTTGTTGTGAGCCACTCAGCATGCCTGGGAATTGGGGGGGTGCTACATCACTCTGTGTAGAGGTGTTATCTCTTTGAATGGGGTGCCTCTCTTTGTCTTAACGTGGGAGCTGTCCTCTGTCCTCTCTTCTCCCTTCGTCCTCTCAGTCTCTTCTAACACGGCCTTCCATGGACACATATATCTCTGCAGATCTCTCCTGTAGATACAATGCCCTCATACTCCTGCTAGGGTTGCCTGGTCCCCTCAAAGTCCCCAGCGGGGGACTTTGGGGGGCATTACTGGAGAGGGTGGGGAGTCCCCAATGTGATGATGTCACTCAGAAGTGACATCATCACGTTGGGGAGCAGAGGCCTCGCATCTCCACAGCAATGTTCAAAGGGTCTTTTTCAGGGGTCATTTCGTAGAAAAAGAGCTAGGGGAACTCATTAGCATAACTCATTAGCATATGCCACCCCCCCTGACATCACTGGAAGTGTGTCATAAGGCCACACACCCCACCCCCAATGGTCCCGGCCACCGCCGCTGGCCTTGCAGCTCCACTGCCGAACCCCATGAGGGGCCCGGCGGTGGACCTGCAAGGCCGGCGGGAGTGCAAGGAAGCCCCGCGAAGGCCCTCCCTGGCCCCAGGCAGGCAGGGGTGGGGAGAGGCAGGGAGGAAGCAACTTACCCTCCCTCTTCTCCTGCCTCCTCCTGGCTGAATGAGGGCCGGAAGCGGGGCGGCCGGAAGCAGGGGGCGGGGCTTCGTCCTGTGCCCCGCCCCTCTGCACCTCACCCGGGGGAACTATGTTCCCCCGCGTTCCCCCCGAAATGACCTCTGGTCTTTTTAAAACCTGCTTGGAAGAGGGGGTGGGGAGGCCGCACACACCTGCACACCACGTCCCAAATTTGGGGCTCGGAGTGCAGGCGCCCAGCCCCACCTCTCCCCAGCAGCATTTAAAGCCTTCTTCTAAATGCTGCTGAGGGGGGGGGGAGCCACACGTGCCTGCATGCTGAGCCCCGAATTCAGAGCTCAGAGTGCAGGCATGCGGACCCTGCGTCTCCCCAGTAGATGTATTTAAACATTGTTGGGAAGAGGTGGGGAGGAGGCTGGGTAGTCACTCTTGGGGGCAAGGCTTCTCCCCACCCGCCCCTCCAAATTGGGCAACCCCTGCCAAACTGGGGGATCTGTCAAGCCTAACTCCCGTGCACATGATGCCGAACATGCTGGCCATTTGTGATCAGGAAAGTACTCTTAGATCATTTCCACAGACGGGCAAATCCCTGCATTGGCGTTTTTAAGGAACTGGACTATGCAAAAGTCTCCACACAAAATCTTGCTTCCCCAGGAATAGATCTGAATGTTGAGCCCCCCTTACCCCACATTTTCTGAATTCCCCTTTCCTGCAAAGTTTAGGCTTCTTTTCTCTTGTCAGTCCAGTTACCTTTCTCTTATTTTGACTGCAATCTGAATGTGAACTGGATCTACTTGAATAAATACAAGTTTACCTTTTTTTGCAATATCCTCCTTGGGAGATTTATTTACTGCACTCAGTGTCATGCTGCTATGACTGGGCAAACTCTGCTACATTAACCAAATATGCCAATAAAAACATGCTAATAAAATCAAGCTAAGTGAATTTAAAGAGGAATAAAGGTAAAGGTAAAGGTTCCCTTGCTCGAAAGCCAGTCGAGTCCGACTCTAGGGTTGCGGTGCTCATCTCTGTTTCATAGCCAAAGAGCAAGCGCTGTCCGAAGATGTTTCCGTGGTCATGTGGCCGGCATGACTAAACACCAAGGCGCATGGAACGCTGTTACCTTCCCACCAAAGTGGTACCTATCTTTCTACTTGCAATTTCTTGCTTTCGAACTGCTAGGTTGGCAGGAGCTGGAACTAGAGACGGGAGCTCACTCCATCATGCGGAAACCTGGGTCTTGAGCTGCTGAACTACCGACCTTCCACAGCCTGCAGTTCAGCGTCTTAACCACTTGAGCCACCGCAGCTCCATTTAAAGAGGAATACGGTCTCATAAAACAAATAGAGCAATAAAAAGTGACGGGTAACAGATGAGGCCTCATGCTAGGATTAGACCATAAAACACCGAAGAAGAACCCATTCGTTAAAAAGCCCGGATAAAGAGAAATGTTTGATCTGCTGTGAGAAGATAATTTGAACTGCCAGGCTGTGAATGGGATATATATCTCATGTATTTAAGACCCGAGATGACCCCTCCCTGTGCTGATCAAAAAATCAAAAAGGGTAGAGTTATTTGGGACTAAGGTATAAATATCAGAAATATTTGTAAAGGAAAAAAAAGAAGAGGAGAGGTTTAGAAAAACAAAAACAAAATCAGTAACAAGAACTTCAGGTGGCTACTGTAGTAATCCCAAAGAGTGCCTTAAAACTGAAGGAAGCAACTGCGTGTGGGAATGAAACAGGGATGGAGAGAGGAGGGAGGGAAACCCAAAACTGTAACTGCTGTGGGAGGGAGAAGAGCTGGGAGAAGCAGTTTGGGGGAGGAGGGGTGAAGGAGAGCCAGCAAAGTGAGGGGAGTAGGGTTGCCAGGTCACCTACTGTAGCAGGAGGCCTGTTGCCACCAACCCCCCAACCTCTGCTTGGTAAGCCACTGGGGGGGAAGATGCTGAAAAAAATCATCGTTGCTCAACGGCATGATAATATTTCCAGGATCAGCCTGGAAGTGCCTTCATGCCACTCAAAGATCCAGCAGAAACGCTATAGTTTTATCATAGAGTTTTCACTGAATCCTAGAGAGGCATGACATAACTTCCAGGTTCACCCTGGAAATGTCACGCTGTCCCTGCACACTGAGCCACAGTCCCTCTAAGAAGGGGAAGCAAGGGCTAGCAGAGGATAGAATGGGATTTCTATTCACTGTGAATAATCTTTGAAGGCTGTTCTCTGGTATATCTAACTTTATGTATACAGACACATGTGCCAAACGGGGACCACTGGTCTGACCCAGCAGGGCTCTTCCTACATTCTTGTGTTATGATTCTGTCCCCCAGACAAGGCCCCGCTCAACATGCTCTGAAAGTTGCAAGCCTGGAAGAAGCAAGGTGGTGCCAGAAGGACGGCTTGTTTGCTGCTATGATTGTTCTCTGTGCATGGAAGGGACTGTGGCCATGCAGGCAGGTCAGTGGCCCGGAAGAATCCATGGGCATCGGTACAGTTTTTCACCCTGAAAGCACTGGTAGAAAGTTTGGACGAGAAATGTTGCTGAAGTGAGGTCACATTGACAAGGTCCAGGAAAGTCAAGGTGCAGATTCCCCCCCTCCCCAGAGTGACATTTAATGTTATCTTCAGCTGTGAATACATTTTAAGGAACTACTTCAGAGAACAGCTCCAAGTAAATTCAGGTTGTAGCCTGATCCTCTAAGTCCCCACAGAATGCTGCACTTCCACTCCTAGCCATGGATGGCAATTAGCACCTAACCTGTAGCTATGGTGGGGTATTTTGGGGCCACACTCCCTTAATCACAAACTATGTCCCACAAAACAGGCTTGAAAGCAGGCTTCGGAAAAGATTGGAACAATTAGATCTTTTCTCGGGCTGTTTGGAACTACCTTTAAATTTTTAGGCAAATATTCCTGCACTGAACTCTGTATTTATCAATGAATCTTTGTTAACCTGAGATATAGGGAAAGTGAGCTATACCCCTGTTACAATAAATATGCCCCAGAGGACACTGAGGTCCACAAATCAACATCTTCTACCAGTCCCCGGCTCCAGGAACATCTGACTAACCTCAACCAGGTACCCATATTAAGAAACGCTAAATTTTCATAGCAATGGATAAGGAGATAAAAAAATTATTTGGTACCCAAAAAAGGCAAGAATTAGATGGAAATTATTACAAAAAAGAAAAGAGCAGGGGGGCTTTGGATTGCCCAATTGGAAAATATATTATCAAGCATCATCTTTAACCTGGATTAAAGAATGGCTAACCCTGGATAATGTTAGAATTTTAAATCTGGAAGGGCATGACCTGTATATGGGTTGGCATGCCTACGTTTGGTATGGAAAGGATAAGATCCATTCAAACTTTAAACAACATACGGTTAGGGGCTCATTGCTATGGAACGAAATTAAAGGACAGTACTATAAGAAAACCCCTAAATGGGTTTCACCACTAGAAGCATACATAAAACCGTCTCTTATTAATCCGTGGGACAGAGAAAGTTATCAAACACTGCTAGATGAAAACAACAAATTAAAATCAGAAGACACGTTATTAACAGTATATAATATAAAATTAACAGGATGGGAAGCCTTGCAGCTTAGATCTAGATATGCTAAGGATGTGGCAGTAGGTTTTCAAGATACACGATCACAACTGGATAAGATTTGGTTATCTTCAAGTGATAAATTAATTCAGAGAATATATGGTTTCTTGCTGGAGGATTATATGCAAAATGAAATGGTTAGTCAAAATATGTTAGCATGGTCAAAAGACCTAGGTTACACGATAGAAAGGGAGAAATGGGTGAATACCTGGAGATCGTTGAATTATGTAAGAGCGATTAATTATAAAGAAAATATATACAAGGTCTACCATAGATGGTATTGGTCCCCTGATAGGATAGCAAAATGTAACCCGATGGCATCTAAAGCATGTTGGAAATGTACAAAAAACATAGGGACAGTTTTTCATATGTGGTGGCGATGCCAGAAAGTCAAGAGATATTGGGAAATGATTCAAAGACTTGTAGTCGATATCTTGAAGTTGAACATAATCCTTACCCCGGAAATAGCACTGTTGAATATGGTACCAGAGAAATGTAATCCGAACGAAAAATATGAATTAACATACATAATGACTACTGCAAGAATATTATTGGCCAAGTACTGGAAACAAGATAGAGTCCCAACAAGACAGGAGACATTAGAGAAACTGATGGAAGTTGCAGAAATGGACAAGTTAACTTTAATTATTTAAGGGAAAGATGAAAGTGTATTTATGAAAAGATGGGAAAGATTTTACAACTGGATGTATAATGAATAGGGAAGGTTTGACTTGAATATATAAAATGTATAAAAGTATGGAAATTAGTCTTGTTAAGCAAGTGAAATGATAGAAGGAGAAAAGTATGTTATATGATGGAAATTTATAAATAAAAGTGTAAAAAAAAAACAAAAAAAAACAGGGCCAGGGCTTTCTCGGCCCTTGCCCCCACTTGGTGGAATGAGCTTGAATATGAGATCATGGCCCTGAGGGATCTATTACAGTTCCGCAGGGCCTGCAAGATGGAGCTCTTCCACTTGGCCTTTGGTTGAGGTGGCAGACATCCCTCTTTCCTCCTGGCTGTCTCCCCTCCAGTGGCCTGGATCCAAATAGATATCGGAGTACCCACTGCCATTGGAACTAACTTGTTTGCACAGTATTTTATAGTTTTGTTGTCTTAAATGTGTTATTTTAATAGTTGTTTTCATGGTATTACATTAAGATTGTTGTAAACCACCCTGGGCCCACCTGTGGGGAGGGTGGTATATAAAGAAAATAAACCAAATAAAATAATACTTGGAGCTTCTGATGGATAAGCGATAAACCTCGAGCTTCTGATATTGAAAGACAGATTTGTGAGGGAGAAGTCCTTCTGTGGTTACCTGCTTTTGAGAGTGAAGGGAGGCAGCAGCAAGGGAAGGCCTTGTCCTCTAAGGCCTGGTTGTTTAACCCTCCAGGGCCACAGGTTGGCCACTATGGGAAACAGGATGCTGGACTGGATGGATGACTGGCCTGACCCAGCAGGGCTCTTCTTATGTTCTTCTGAAATTCCTTTTTCCCCCCAGATGCAAATCACTGTGATGAATGTCCTGAAGATCAGTATGCAAACAAGGAGCGAGATCGATGTCTCCCGAAGCTTACAGTCTTTCTGTCCTACAGCGAACCTCTGGGGATCACCTTGGTTTTCTTTGCCCTGTTACTGGCTCTAAGCACAGGTTTTGTTTTAGGCATCTTCATTAAATACGCCAACACTCCTATAGTCAAAGCCAACAACCGAGACCTCTCCTACATCCTTCTCGTCTCCCTCCTGCTTTCCTTTCTGTCATCCTTCCTGTTCATTGGCCAGCCCAGGAAGGTGACCTGCCTTTTCCGCCAAACTGTCTTCAGCACCATCTTTTCAGTGGCTGTGTCTTCTGTGTTAGCCAAAACGCTCACTGTGGTGCTGGCCTTCAGGGCCACAAAGCCAGGGAACAGGAGACAGCTGGGGAAGAGTATGGCAATTGTTATTGTCCTTTTCTGTTCCATTATTATTCAAGTTGTTGTCAGCATCCTTTGGATGGGACTTTCTCCTCCCTTCCCAGAACTGGACATGCACTCCCAGGGTGGACAGATCATTTGGCAATGCAGTGAAGGGTCTGTCGCCATATTTTATGGTGCCCTTGGCTACATGGGTTTCCTGGCCGCCATTTCTTTCATTGTAGCCTTCCTAGCCAGGAAGCTGCCTGGGGCATTCAATGAGGCCAAGTTCATCACTTTTAGCATGCTGGTATTTTGTAGTGTTTGGGTCTCCTTTGTTCCTACCTATCTGAGCTCCAAGGGGAAATACATGGTAGCTGTGCAGATCTTCTCTATGTTGGCTTCCAGTACTGGTTTACTGGGTTGCATTTTTCTGCCTAAATGCTATGTCGTAATACTGAGGCCTGGAATGAATACAAAAGAATGTCTAATGAAGAAAAGGAGATCTTAAGCTTCTAAAAATCCCTTTCGGTCAAGGTCTGTCCCCTTATGCTGAAAGTTAAATCCACAAAATAGGGCCAGTCACAGGTATGATAGAGTAGAGGTATTCACTCTGTGGGTTTCAGAAAGCCACATTCAGAAATCCTGGGATTGCCATCTCTGGGTAGTGCTGCCAGTTCTAGGGGCCCCCAGTGTGCCGGCCTCAATCTGGCCGGCAGGGGAAACTCCACCACCAAAGTGCCTGGATTCGGCCAATGTGCCCAGCACGATGACATCACTCAGAGGCTAAGTCATGGCACTGGGCATGTCACTGGGGGATGCTCTAACATTCGACCTGAAAACGCTATGGGAGCTTTTGGGACACAAGGACTTCCAAAAGTCCAAAGTCATGTCTACACATACGGGAATCTCCTGACTTGCAGCAAAATCTTAATCCTTTAAAAAATCATTTTGAGGCACAAGGACTTATAAAAGTCAATGTCTGCTCACGAACAGATGTAGCCAAAAATAAATAAATTATGGAATTAGGGTTGTATTTTGAGTTGTCCTAATAGCCCTAAACAGCCTAGAAAATGTGGTGGTGGAGGCCACCAGGAGTAGACAACAAGGGGAAACTGGAGCCACCCTTCTGCCTTTCCTCCCTTTGCTCACCCCCCTTTCCTCCTCCTTACCGTGCCTAGGAGGAGAGAGGGGATTGAATGGGTAGGAGGACGTAGGGAAACAAACTGGCAGTATGGTGATGGGGGAAAATGCAAGCGCTCCTGGATCTCTTTTTTATATTGTAATATTCTGTGCCTAGTTTCCCTGCAGTAATACATGGCTGCCACAGGCATAGTTCTGAGCCACTATTGTGATATTTCCTCTCTGTCTTTACGATACTGCAAAGCCTATGAGAAATTCTGATTATATGTTAATAAAGTAATCTGGAATGATATGATTGCCATTTTTCTTTCTTACATAATGTATCAGTTCAGGTGGGTAGCCGTGATGGGTCTGTAGCAACAGAACAAAGTTTGAGCAAAGTAGCCCCTTTAAGTCCAACAGAGTTTAATTCTGGGTCTAAGCTTTTGTGTGCATGCATGCTTTTTCAGATATCTGAAGAAGTGTGCCTGCACATGGAAGCTTATACCCAGAATTAAACGTTGTTGACCTTAAAGACGTCACTGGGCTCAAACTTTGCTCTATGATGTATCGATGTGAGTAGGGTTGCCAGACACCCCCCCCCCCGTTCAATGGGGGTTTCCCAAAACGGGGGGGCTCCTTCCTGCCACTGGTCAGCTGGTGGGTGGGGGAAGCCCCAACCCCCAAAGCGGCCACTAGGCCTCCCCCCCACCTCTTCCCAACAGCATTTAAAGACATCCTTTAAATGCTGCTGAGGAGAGGCAGCGGTTGCAGAAAACTATATGAACAGAGGATGCTGGACAAAGAAGATATGAGTTTTAGACTCCTTGAGCCAGCTACTGCATATAGAACCCCCAGTCTTTAGACCTAGATGGAATTTCTTATTACAAGAGGTTACTTCTAAAGTTTAACAGCTATTGAGCTGCTCCAACAATTCTTTAAAAATGAAAAAAAAATTAAGCAACTTTGAAATAACAGCTAACAGAGTCTTCTGCGACCAAAACATAATTCCTCTTCTTTCCATGAAGGAGCTGAGTCCCCCACTTGCTGTCTCTGCAGCTGCAAAACCTTGCTTGCAGGCAACTGATAAGATACAGGAAAAAAATGAAAACCGAGGGCAAGTTCAGGCTCATAGCACTTCCAAGGTGACATCTGCAGGGAAACCTGATGACTTAGAGACTGCTATACTGAATCTGAAAAAATCTTTACAAAGTTTGAAATCCAGAGATGCCCCTCTAGAGAATGTTTAACAGAAGGGAGATACAAAAAAGCCTCCTATCCAAACTAAAAAGCAGACTCAAAGAGAAATCAAAAGTTGTCCAATCATTGAACATACACAAATTTTCCAAGATCGACAGAAGCAAGGTTTCTCACAGGCCAAAAAAATACATGCACACAGGAAAGAACTGCGGAGCTCACCACTACTCGAAAATGAATTACCTTCTGATGTTTCATGAGAAAAAAACAGGATAGTGAGGAAACTCAGCTTACAGAGCAAGCAAAAAATGCACCTTCTTGGAAACCAAGCTCAGCCCCCTTTTCACCAAAAGTAGTTATATCAAATGTCTCCGTCCCCAGTCAAGTAGCTAACAAAATTGATTTTTTTAGATCAAGCAAATCACAAGATATAAGAAATACCTCTTCAAAGCACATAAAAATTATCAGCTGGAATATAGCTGGATGGAATAAAGCCATGTTAGATCCTAAAATCTTCTCTCTACCGGCAAACTTTGACTGTATTATGATACAGGAGTCCTGGCTATGCCACCCCTGTGACCTAGCTGGTTATAATTCCTTTTGTCTACCTGCTGAAAAACTAAAAAGGACGTCCTCAAGGAGGGTTACTATGTTTTATTTCCAATAATTTGGGCAAATCGTTCCTTCTCCCTCCCTGACCTACAATTCTAGCCGTGGCAGTGAAGACAGCCACCAGTCCCAAAGAGAGCTTACTGGTAAATGTCTACCTTACCCCTAAAACATCAAAAACAGACATTAATATCCAGTGGACGATCTTAGAGGAATATCTGCTAGAACTACAAAGCAGCCACCCACAAGCTCTTATGATAATAGGGGGGGACTTCAATGCCAGAATTGGCTCAAATGATAATGAACTGCTCCACTCCAAATTCTGGAAAGAAAATTTCCTCTATCATAACACCACAGAAGGAACACACCATTCTAAAGATAAAGGTATCAACAGATCGGGAGCCAATCTGGTGAACATGGCCTCCAGACTGCCACTGGTGATTTTAAATGGAAACAGCACTGTCGATCCTTTTGGGGACTTTACAAGGTGCTAGCGTTATCGATTACTTCCTGATTAAAGACTCCAGCCGTTCAAAAGTATGGGAGTTCAAAGTAAATGACCAGGCAACAAGTGATCATTTCCCAATTTCCATCAAAGTATCACTAGAGACTATGCCAAATCTGAGTATTAGCCAAACTGGTTCCAAGGCACTGCCCACTAAGCGGAGGCGGTCCAAAGGCTTGGCTGAAGTCACTATAACAATACTCCACACTGAGGAAGCACAAAAACTAAAAGAGAAAATCCTGACAGAACAAGACTGCCACACAGCTCTGGAAAAAATGTCAGCACTCATTAAACTCTTCAACCTGGTTTTATTAAATAGTGGAAGAGGAAAACAAAAGTTAAGTAAACCTGACTGCCATGTGAAAAGCTGGTTTGACGGAGATTGCAGAAGTGCTAAAAATCAAATTAAATGAAATTACAAACTTTTAAATTATAACAACACACCCACTGCTTGACACTCATTGATGCAAGCCAGAAGGAAATACAAAGCAATACTGAAGGAAAAGAAGCGACAGTCCATGAAATCCACATGGGATATGATAATCGCAGCCACTAAAGAGAAACCTAGTACTTCTCTCTGGCACCTAATTACTCCAGTGCTGAAGCCAAGAAGAAACACTGCAACTCACATATCAGCAACAATCTAGGAAAAGCATTTCGAAAAGCTTCATAGGAAGCATAACCTTGAACCAGACCTAAACTTTGAAATCAACCTTAAACAAACTCCAAAATGGAAACATGTCACATGTCGTGAGATAATTAAATTGATTAAAAATTTAAAACTGAGAAAATCTCCTTGCCTTGATGCATTTCCTGCAGAACTACTAAAAATAGCTCCTGACTGGTGGGCTCAAGTGCTTGCACCCATATTTATACTCATTAATAAGGACGGAATCATGCCAGCTTCATGGAAAACATCGCTGGTCGCTCCTATATACAAAAAAGGAGACAAAGCTGACCCAAATAACTACTGACCAATTAGCCTTCTCGCAGTGATTGGCAAAATCTATGCATCTTGCCTACAGAAAAAGCTGCAGTGCTAGATAGACAAAGAGAAGATACTAGATGACGAACAAGGAGGCTTCAGAAAGGTCTACTCTTGTGTAGATCATTGTTTCACACTGGCCTCGCTGATAAGCAAATATGCACTAGATGTACCTGGCTCCTTATATGCCTTCATTGATCTAAGGGCTGCCTTTTACTCTGTGTCGCACACATGCCTATGGAACAAACTAAATGCTACAAGCATGCCTAAAAGATTATTGAAGTTAGTAATGAATCTTTATTCAGAAAACTCACTGCGTGTTAAAATAAACAATGAGGGGCAGTTATCCAACCCTAAATCTACCCAAAGAGGTGTTCGTCAATGATGCTGGGGATTATTAGGAAGGGTATTGTAAACAGATCAGCCAATATCATAATGCCGCTATATAAATCAATGGTGCGACCTCATCTGGAATACTGTGTGCAATTCTGGTCACCACACCTTAAAAAGGATATTATAGCTTTGGAAAAAGTGCGGAAAAGAGCAACTCGAATGGTAAAGGGTTGGAACACTTTCCCTATGAGGAAAGGTTAAGGCGCTTAGGGCTCTTTAGCTTGGAGAAATGACGACTGAGGGGTGACATGATTGAGGTTTATAAGATTATGCATGGGAAAGAGCAGGTAGAGAAAGAGGTACTTTTCTCCCTTTCTCACAATACAAGAACCCGTGGGCACTCCATGAAATTGCTGAGTGGTCGGGTTAGAACGGATAAAAGGAAGTACTTCTTCACCCAAAGAGTGATTAACACTTGGAATTCACTGCCACAGGAAGTGGTGGCAGCTACAAGCATGGACGGCTTCAAAAGGGAATTAGATAAGCATATGGAGCAGAGGTCCATCAGTGGCTATTAGCCACAAGGTATAGATAGGGACTCTGGGGCAAGTGATGCTCTGTCATCTTGGTGCTGGGGGGGGGGTCAACAGTGGGAGGGCTTCTAATGTCCTGACCCCACTGGTGGACCTCCTGATGGCACTGGTATTTCTGGCCACTGTGGGATACAGAGTGTTGGACTGGATGGGCCTTTGGCCTGATCCAACATTGGCATCTCTTATGTTCTTATGTTAAGAACATAAGAACATAAGAGATGCCAATGTTGGATCAGGCCAAAGGCCCATCCAGTCCAACACTCTGTATCCCACAGTGGCCAGAAATACCAGTGCCATCAGGAGGTCCACCAGTGGGGCCAGGACATTAGAAGCCATCCCACTGTTGACCCCCCCAAGCACCAAGATGACAGAGCATCACTTGCCCCAGAGCCCCTAGCTATACCTTGTGGCTAATAGCCACTGATGGACCTCTGCTCCATATGCTTATCTAATTCCCTTTTGAAGCCGTCCATGCTTGTAGCACCCACCACTTCCTGTGGCAGTGAATTCCAAGTGTTAATCACTCTTTGGGTGAAGAAGTACTTCCTTTTATCCGTTCTAACCCGACCGCTCAGCAATTTCATGGAGTGCCCACGGGTTCTTGTATTGTGAGAAAGGGAGAAAAGTACCTCTTTCTCTACCTGCTCTTTCCCATGCATAATCTTATAAACCTATGTTGTTGGTCAAAATGAAATGATGCTGTAGATGTGAAAATAAGCTAATTGGGCTTAAGGAAGACAGAGAATTTAACTAAAAGAAGACAAACGCTACTCACAGAAAAGTTGCTCCAAAATGATTGGGATGCCCTTCAAACAGATGCTAGATGAAAATGCTCCCCACTTCATCTAGGAATTAAATATTCCACTAAAGTAGAGACTTGCCTCTCTACTGAAACATGTTGACCATTCCAAAACTGAGACGGTCATATATGATTGCACACTGCAATGCATTTCCAACAGCCCAGGTGAAGGGCTGTTTTCTCAAGACCCCTCTGGACCAGTGCTATTGTGACTGTCCTTTGATAGAACTTGACTCGCTGTGTCATGTTTTCTTTTATTGTCCAAAACATGCAACAGCAAGAGAAAGATTCTTAAGAAAATGGCTTTCGAAATATTCATCTTTTTCTGATGCATCAAGATTAAGACTACTTCTGAGCAGCTTCTGCCAAAATTGCATCGTGGATGTGGCAAATTTCTGTTTTACTGTTCTTTTAAATTCCTAATTTTTTAAAATGGTGTATGACCTATGGGCTACTAAACTTTAAATAAACTGATACAAATACATGAGGTGTATTTTTTTTTTTTTTTAAAAGCCTATAATCTGAGGTACATAATTCTATCATTCTGGAATTCAGAAAGTATCCAGCTTTCTAAGCAATGTGCTAGGTCCCAGGGTTTGATTGGAAGGCGTATGATACAGAGGTCTTGTTGAAGCTGCAGTGCGTGAATGTGGGCAGACCTCCTGAGCCCTGTGCATGCTGCCTTGAGGCTAAGGTTGCCAACTGGATGGGGGGATAATCCTGTCCCTCCTCCCATATGAACCTTCCCATCCACTCCAATCACTTTTTGGAGGCCCTCCTTTAGTTGCCCCTGCCATCTGAACCTAGACTGGTGCCATCTGGAGAAAGGGCCTTCTCAGTCATGGCACCAAAATTTTGGAATTCCCTCCCCAAGGAGATTCATCTGTCTCTCATTATTGTTGTCATAATCTGCCAGTGGGTGGAGACTTTTTGTTCTGTTTTGTTTGGCTCACCAACCCCCAATTGACTGTTGTTGCCCTTCCTCCCTGGTTTTACTGTTATGTGTGTTTATATATTTTCATTGAATTATTGCATATGTTTTGGTTTTTTTAATGTTGAAATGTTTTAACGTTCTGACGTTTGCCATGTTAAAGACCCGATTGGGATAGAAAAGTAGCACAAAAATGTTTTGAAGGAATCATAATAGAAGTTGAATGGGTGGAGATTGACAGTGGAGCTTTTCACAGTGTCAAGTCAAATAACATCACTTGATAATGGCTTGTAGGTCAAACTGATATTTAAGGGTCAGCTAGAGAGATTGGTTTAAAAGCTGGCAACCCTACCAGTCTTAGTAAAGGAAGAAAGACTGAATTCAAATAAATAGACTCACATGGAAACTGTTCTCTGCACTTCTGAGAACTTTTGCCCACTAAGCACCAGTCGATGAGCAACTGTCCCCTAGCAAAGTACGACATGGCTTTGGTGAACTTTTGAAAACATGTTTTCTCCTGCTGTGCACCTGCGTATGTGGCCACAAACAGAGTCACAGGCTTTGGGGATGTGATTATTTCACCTGTAATTATCGAAATCATTGTGTAGATTGTTGCTCCAGCAGAAGCCTGGTGGGTTTTCCAGAGGTCTTCTTCAGAGATCGGTAAGAAAAACACTGAAATCCATTGTAACAGCTGATCATTCCTTGTACTCAGTTTCGAAAGAGGCCTATATAAACTTTTCTTCTGCTCAGAGTTAAGGCTGGCATTTTTAAAAGGCATAGCTGGTCTGTGTCATTCTGATGCTAGATGCTATCTCTGTTCATGCTAAAGCTAGCTATGGGGTCTTCATCTCTGAAGTCAGACACAGTATGAGGAATTTTGACCTCTGTCCAGGCAGCTTTTTCTGCTAATGCTCTTGACTGGATACAGAACTAATAGAAGGAATGAATCTACTGCTTGCCTGTGCCCAAAATGCTGCTGCTGCTTCTACTGCTTCACGTGTCTTGTTGGGTCCCAGTGAAACAAAAAATGGATCTCTCAGGTCTACAAATTTATCTAAGTAATTATTACAGACCAGGAGATTACCTTATTACCGGAGTTGTACCTACGAGAACAGCTGTGTACCCATCACATACATTCTGTTATGACCCCATCAAAAACTTCTTTCCGTAAGTCTTGCTTGCTGGCTGATTTGTTCTCAGCCACTTCTGGCTGCTAGTAAAGTCTATATTTTGGTTAACCTCTGCTGCTCCCTTGTCCTTTCATTCCAAAGGGTGCTTTGCAATGTGATGAGAAAAACAAGAGGATTCACTCAGGGAGTTACAAATGACACAAGCTCCAGTATAGAGCATACGAACAGCAATTCTGGATGAGACCAGAGGCCAATACTTTGCTCTGATGTTGCCTCCTAGCTCTGGTTTCCAGAGGTTTCCTGCCTCTGGATATGGAGCTTCCCTTTACTCACCATGGCTAGTAGCCACTGATGAACCTCTCCTCTCCATGAATCTGTCTATCCCCCCTTTCAAGCTATCTGTAGCTTTCACCACCTCCACTACCAATGGATTCTACAATTTAATTACTTGTTGAGAAAGAGAGTATTTCCTTTTCTCTCTCCTGTACCTCTTACCCGTCAACTTCATGGGCCCATCATGTTCTTTCTAGAGCCCTGAATGTAGCAGTTAGAATTCCAGACCAGAATCCGGGAGACCTCGGTTCGTAGCCGTATTCTGCCATGGAAAATGGCTGTTTGGCTTTGGGCCACTGAAGAGTAAGCTATAAGACGCTTTGATCCCTATTGTGGAGGATGGAAGGGTACAAATGAAGTCTGTAAGCATGTATGTGTGTAGGTATGTAGGGTTGGCACTCTGGTTGATTGGCTGGCCAAATATTGTTGCTGGATCGTTGAATAGCTATTCGCTGACCACAGCTAACTTTTGTCAAATATTCCTTTTAAAGCATTGTATGAAATCAATAATGCTATGATATCAGTGGCAGCTCAGCATTTCAATTTCATTACAGTATCATTCATTAGCAAGGCAAGGAATGAGAGCTTTTTGGCTCCTAACAGTGCAGCAGTTAGAGGTAAAATTTCTCCTGTTTGCCTTCTGCTATATCCACAGGCTTCTCCACACAGGAAGCCTGTTGCCAATTTAGTAGCAGAACAGTCCTGAGAAATGAAGTTTTAAATTAGCTGGTGTTACATTACTTTGCCCTGTCATGAACAGCCCATGTAGCCTAGCTACACTGGCTCTCAGCTAACTAACTGGTATTTGTAATTAGCATTAGTATAATATCTTTTAATGTTTACAGTATAAAATCTGTTAATGTTTACAGTATCTTCTTCTTCTTCTTCTTCTTTCACACCCCCTCCCCAAATCTTGAGGAATTTCTCAGCCCAGTGTTGGCAACCCCACAAAACAGGGAGGTTGTTGCCTTCATGCTATGCTTTGTGAAATCTTCCAGTGATTTTGGAAACAGAATGCTGGTCTAAATGGACCTTTAACCTCATCTGACCAGGTCTTTATAAGCACAAAATTTTCTCTACCCACCCAATAGTTGATCCATTTTTCACTGATGAAGCAGGACTCATGTTAGTACTTTAACTCTGGTTGATGTTTGCCATTATGTTCCCCTGCAGGCTTGTGGAAAAGAATTACCAGCATGTCCTGGCCTTCTTGCTTGCCATCGATGAGATCAATGCCAATCCCCAGCTCTTGCCCAATATAACTCTGGGCTACAGCATCTATGAAAACTGTTTCAGCTCAAGGATAACTTATGAGGCCACGATAGACCTGCTCTCTACAGGGCACTGGATGGTTCCTAACTTCAGGTGTGGAAGGCAGGATAATCCATTGGCAGTTATTCAAGGAGGGGACTTTGAGGTCTTTCTCCAGATGGCAACAATGTTAGGCATCTACAAACTCCCTCAGGTGTGTACAGAGAACAATGGGGGATGGGGGCAAGGACATGATGCTCGAACTCTGCCTGTGATAATTGCAGTCTTATAGGGTTACCACTGATGTCCTCTTTTTAGAGGACATGTCCTCTTTATTTTTATATCCATCCTCGTTTGGGCTTGCTATGTATGCGGACCGCCACCAGGGGTTCGTGGCTAAAGCAGGAGCTTGGTCCCCAAACACAAAGGGGACCTAGGATCCTAGTTCACCTCGAGTCCACCAATAGCACCCTTGGCAGGAAATTCAAACCCTCCAATGGGAATAGGTGTGCTGGGTAGAGTGTATATAGTTGGCCTTGCAGGGCCGTTTAGTTTGTCTTGTTGTGAAGTACAATAAATACGTCTGAATGCACGTCGTAGCCCGAGTCCTCCATGCCGCGAACCCAGTACTTTACAGGTCTCTTTTTAAAAACCTGATGAGAATGTCCTCTTTCTGGGTTGAAAGGTTAGGAATATTCCTAGTCGGTAGCAATTACCACAGCTTATATAGTAGGGGTATTTCAAAGGAGATTTGTTATAGTGATCACTTGTTTGAAGTAATCTGTTGGGAAATATGTCCTCTTTTTTGCTTTTCCAAATATGGTAACCCTAAGTCTCATTAACGTGTGATGCTGGGCTCATGGAACAGGGAAGCTACGTAACCATGTTCTCGTTTCTGGAATTATCTGTTGGCATCTTCTCAAGAAAGCTGTGGTAAAAATCTCTTTAAACTATCAACACAAATTTCCCCTCTTTAAGCCTTTCTAGAAAAGTGAGGGCTGAGGCAGGGGGCTTTTTGTTTTTTGTTACTTGGGGCTTGAAAACGGACAATTGAGAATTTGGGCAGAAGGGGATGTGAAAAGTAATTTGAGGGGGGACATTACTTTTTTCAGAATGGTCAGTGAAACTGAGTTAATTCCACTAATAGCAATATTCACTTCCTATCTATTTTAGTAAAGACATGACCCCCCACACACACATTGTCGATGTTACATCCTCATTTTTGTTTATCACAGATTTGTTACTTGCTAATTTCATCTTTTCTTTTCTTTTCTTTTCTCCTACTTGCCAGTGGTCCGAAAGAAGATACCTTTGAGTGCAGTAGCCTGCCTCCCAAATATTGGATATAAATGTTTTCACTGAGCAAATTAAAAATACAGACTAGAAAGGTTCAGACTTTGTAAATATACAAAAGAGTACTATTTTATGTGATAACTAAGTTATATGTAATGTGTTTGCTGCAGTGTTCCTGCAAACGGAGTAAGTAGGGAGAGGCTATTTTTATTGGCTTCTCTCCCCATCAGCTCCCTATGGCACTTAAAAATCCACTCCTGTTGAGTTCCATGCCACGGATGAGCTGTTTTTCCTTAGAGGAAACCAGAAAGACAATGGTGTTTATCCCAAGGTGTCCTTGCAATGTTTAGGACAGGGTTGCCAACTCCAGGTTGGGAAATACCTGGAGATTTTGGGGGCAGAGCTTGGGGAGGGTGGGGTTTGGGGAGGGGAGGGACTTAAATGGGGTACAATTCCATAGAGTCCACCTTCCAAAGTGGTTATTTTCTTCAAGGGAGCTGATCTCTGTTGCCTGGGGATCAGTATAATCCTAATAGATCTCCAGCCACCACCTGGATGTTGAGTAAACCACAGAAGGGATCACAGTTACAGGAAATTGTATCAGACAAAGAAATACTGTGATAAAATTGACAATAACATTTAATAATTCCTATGAACATCAATTTGTATATCAATTAAAACTTTTACAATAATGCTCAGGAAATTCTAACGTTTGCAAGGAAAAGTCCAGCATCCTCAATGAGCACCCGGTTATACACTCATTTCACCAATCTTCCTCAGGAGTAATAATCCTATTATGTTAGAAGGTGTCAGCCTCTTGATACAGCTTAACTTCTTCTTTTTTGCTTCCTTCAAACAGTTCCAGCTTAACTTCATTTTTACTTTCTTCAAATTATCGCAGCTTCACTTCTTTTTTAATTCCCTCAAATTATCCTGGAACAAACATGGTTATTTAGAACAGCATGTTGGTTTCCAGGATAATCTGAAGATAGTCAAAAAGAAGTTAACCTGTAATAATTGAAAATGGATCTATAAGATAATTTAATAGAGCCCAGTTCATTTAAAGACTACACATAAATGTATTTAAAAGTGAATGTATTATATAGGAGTTTATCCTTCAGCAACCTTGTCAATGTTCTATACCTTTAAGAAAGTGATATTCACTATGCAGCTGCATGGAATTAATCAGAACAGTTTTTTGAGAGTTTCAGTTCCAATCTTGAGAGGTGGAGAGCATTTGTCAGCTTATTTAAAAAGAAGGCTTCCAGCCAGATAGAAGAGAAGACTGAAATGTTACTCCTATAAACTATCAGGGAGCAATAGAGCCAGCAACGTTAAACAGAGAGCATTTGCCAGCCAATTTGAAAAAAGAAGGCTTCTAGACAGATTAAAAAAAGAGGACTGGTTGCTACGATTAGAAATTAATTAACTGGCTTGCTCCTAATTTAAACACTTAAAATGGAACTGGAAGTAAGTTTAAAATGGCTAAAGTTAAACATTATTAATAACTTTTTTTAAAAAAATTAAAAATTATTACAAAACTATATTCCATTCAGCTTCATGTTTCTTTCCATTCTAAATAACCATGTTTGTTCCAGGATAATTTGAGGAAATTAAAAAAGAAGTTAAACTGTAATAATTTGAAGAAAGTAAAAATGAAGTTAAGCTGGAACTATTTGAAGGAAGCAAAAAAAGAAGAAGTTAAGCTGTATCAAGAGGCTGACACCTTCTAACATAATAGGATTACTCCTGAGGAAGATTGGTGAAATGAGTGTATAACCAGGTGCTCATTGAGGATGCTGGACTTTTACTTGAAAATGTTACAGTTTCCTGAGCAAAATTGTGTTCTTAAGAGTGACGGACTCTAATCTGGACAGCTGGGTTTGATTCCCCACTCCTTCTCCCCATGGAGCCTGCTGGGTGACCTTGGGCCAGTCACAGTTCTCTCAGAGCTATCTCAGCCCCACCTACCTCACATGGTGCCTGTTTTGGGGAGAGGAAGGGAAGGTGATGGTAAGCCACTCTGAGACTCCTTCAGGTAGTGAATGGCAGGGTATAACAATCAACTCCTCCTTCTCCTCCTTCCTGTAGTTAGAGTGCTGGATTGGGATCTGGGAGACACAGGTTCGAATCCCTACTCTGCCACCGATGCTTGCTGGGTGACTTTGGGCCAGTCACACACTCAGCCTAACCTAACCTAACCCACGTTATGCTGCCTTATACTGAATGAGAGCCTTGATCCATCAATTCAGTATTGTCTGCTCAGACTGGGAGTGGCCCTCCAGGATCTCAGGTGGAGGTCTTTCACATAACCTGGTCCTTTCAGCTGGCAATGCCGGGGATTGAACCTGGGATCTTCTGCCTGCAGAGCAGATGTTCTATCACTCAGCCACGGCCCCTCTCCTCTCACAGGGTTGCTAATGTGAGGATAAAATGGGGGAGAGGAGACTGAGGAAAGCCACTATGGGTTCACACTGCACAGAAAGGCAGGGTATAAATAAATATTTTTAAAAGTATTACACTTTCAATGCCTGAACATTATTTCCAACACTAAACGTCAGTTCCTCTTTTTAACTAGCTCACGTATGGTTTTGTCAACCATATTCTAAATGATAAAATCCTATTCCCTTCTTCCTACTGGATGAGCCCCAACGAAGCCCCACAATATACGGGGATAGTCAAGCTGCTCCTCCATTTCAGTTGGATTTGGGTCGGCCTCATTTCTCCCTACGATGATGGAGGTGATAGATTTGTGAGAACCATGAAGATGCTCTTCTCTGAGAGTGATATTTGCGTAGCCTTCACTGAGACGATTCCAAAACTGCACTCGGATGCCTTAAAAAAAAAGATTTCTGAGCTTTTCCAAGAAAGCTTGCTCCTCTTCTTTGCACACATTACACAGAGGAGAGCCAATGTTCTCATTTATTATGGGGATGCCGATTCGATGCTTGTGCTGCCACTCTTGCTAATGCAAATGGAAGAACAAATGGGCATTGCCATAGGGAAAGTTTGGGTCACAACAGCTCTGTGGGGCTTCACTTTAAGCATGTCTTTTGCCTATTGGGATATCAAATGGTTCCATGGAGCTTTGTCCTTTACAGTCCAAGCCAACAAGAAGTCTGTATCCCAGGATCTTTTTTTGATTCAAGATAACACTCTAATGGAGCATTTTTGGTCAGGCATATTTGATTGCTTCACTCCCAACCTTATTTGGTCAAGGAAGACCTGGAGGAGATGCAAGCAGAAGGATCGGTTGGACAGCTTCCCCCCAGCGTGGCCTGAAGACGTATCTGCTGACAGCTACACGGTTTACAACTCTGTCTATGTTGTGGCACATGCCTTCCATGCCATGGTCACGTCCACATCTAAACGCAGGGTAAAGGTTAAAGGAGAGAGACTGGACCTGCTGCATATAGAGCCATGGCAGGTAAGAGAAGGGGAATCCATGGAAACTGTAGCTGAAACAAGCAGTGATTGTTTTATTTCAGGCACTAATTCCTTTTATTTAGGCTCTCAGTCAGGATGATTCAAAACTGAGTTTGGATTCTTCTAACGTACTTTATGTGGGTCTGCCTTTGAAAAGCAGCTCAGTGGGTCTAAAACCAAATCAGTTGACAATGACAAAACACATAACAAACAAAAATTGCAAAGCTTGTTTCTGCAACTGGCATCTGCCTCAGCGGTGCCAAGTCTACAAGAGAAGGGTAAGCTTATGAAGAACAGAGCAATTAAATAATGAAGTGCTTCTTTTAAAAAACCACTCAAATTAATGTTTAAAAACACTCAAATCCATGGAAGAGTTCTCCTGTTGTATCTCATGTTCTATTTCTCCATCCAGTAAATATACCAACTTTGTAAACTGATCTATTTTAGTACTTTGGATAATTCCATCACGTAGTGTTTTGATGGTCAGTGAACACACTACACCAGGGTTCCCCAACATGGCATCTGGGAATACCACTGTACCAGCATTACTTCCCTTGACACCTGTAGAGATTTTGAGAACATTGGTGGGGTTATTGTAAGGCAAGGCTTGTTACTGGCTGCCTTCATTCAAATGAAAGTGTTTTATTTGGAGGATGAGGAGACTAGTAAGCACTGGGCTTCCCTTAGTCAGTGTGTGGTTCCACTCCTCCAGGTTTTTCTTCTTCCCAGATAGGGTGAAGAGGGAGTTATTCTGTTTGGCTTCTGTGGGAGCAATTTTGAGTTTGGCTCCATTTCTTGCTGCTGCCATTTTGAGGTGGTATTCACCACCCCCACTTGAAATTCCAAAGATGCCCACCTTACATTTTTTATTCATATTGTACTGGTTAATATGTTTAACTGTTCTTTAGTTCATTATGGACTAGGCTAATGTTATAAAAATGTGATTGTTATGTTTTCTTAATACTATTGTATTATATCAATAAAATGTTATTGAAAAAAAAAAGGGTTGGAGAGGCCCCAGCAAATCTGTTTTTCTGGTATATCATACTGTGCTGTGGAATTGTGCATGAGGTGTTGATTTTCCTGCATGTTTTTTTACTACAAGACAGCCCGTCTGTTGTGCTTCATCAGCACTAGCTTATAGGACCAAGGGGTTGGATCCCACTTTCCACTGGCCAAAGGAGACTTCCCCCTCTCCCATCAAAGGAAGGCACTTTGTGTGGGCGAAATATGCCAGCACTTGCATAATAGACCTGTGGGATCCAGACCAAGGACTACATTGGAGTCTGTCAGAGAAACTGAATGGGAGCTTGGAAGGACAGGAGTGACACATTCGGGTTATTTGCCTGTGTTGATAATGTTGGGGCCTTTTGTCTCTTTGATAGCTTCATCCTTTTCTAAGAGGCATCCGTTTCAACAGTACAACGATGGACGAGGTGCATTTCGACGAGGACAGGGAACTGGTAGCTAACTACGACATTGTGAACCTGGTCACATCCTCCAACCAGACGGCCAGGAGAATGAAAGTGGGGAGGCTGGAGACCCAAGCTTCTTCTGGCTTAGAGCTGACCCTTCGTGAGGAGGCCTGCGTATGGCCCAGCTGGTTTAACCAGGTGGGAAATCAATTCGTATTTTACGAGCTATATGAACTATAGGGGCTGAAAAAAGTCAACTGCGAGTCAGGAAATCCCCAATTCAAATCAGCAATTAATTCAAGAGGTGACCTTAGTGGAGCTACTGTTTCCCAGCCTGAATGCCTCATTGTTACATGGGGAAATAACACTAGGGGTTTTAATAGGCTGTTAATGGGATAATGTATGAGGAGTGCTTCGAAGACAGTGTCAGTGCTAAGCGTTATTATCTGTCACTGTTCACTGAGCTTATTGTTAAGTATGGAACTCAACACCGTGTCGTAAGTAACAGAGAATCAGCTTTATTGAAGTAAACAGGAACAACCAGAGAACACACAACAACAACAGTGAAGCATAGCTCCCTTTTAAACTATCCCGGCTGGTGTAGCCACACGCTAGAACAGTTAGGGCCCAATGAGATTACAGGGATAACACCCAATCAGATTCGTTCCCTCCTGAACATTTCTCTGCCTTCTGATTGGGTACATTTACACAACAGCCCATAGAATTGTTGCAGCTTACAATCCTAGCCATGGTCTCAAGCTTAACATGTAATGATATAAGACATAACACTTATCTTTGAGCTTTCCATAGAAATGTCACACACTCTTGCATTTGACCCACAGCTGACAGTGTTTTTCTCCTCCACATACATATGTGTGTGTCCATAAGTGTGCCTGCATGTTTTTATATTGAATTCAGAAATTTGTACACAGGGTTGGCAAACCCCCAGATGGGGTCTGGAGATCTCCTGGAATTACAACTGATCTCTGGTCTATAGAGATCAGTTCCCCTGGAGAAAATGCCTGTTTTGGAGGGTGGCTGGGCTCTATGGCACTGTCCCTCCCTGACCAAAAGCCCATTTGCGCCATGTTCTACCCTCAAGTCTCCAGGAATATCCCAACCCGGAGTTGGCAAACTTATTTGTATGCTGCCTCTTCAGACCTGCTGGAGGCAGCTCACAGCAAGAAACCAAATCCATCAGGGCAGTAGAATAATTGAGTTACCATTCACATGATAAAATAAGTCAGTAAAACAGACAACCAAGTAAAATAAATAGATACAAACTGTTGTTGTGAGCGACTCAGCATGCCTGGGCATTGGGGGGGGGGGGCATGCTACATCACTCTGTGTAGAGGTGTTATCTCCTTGAATGGGATGCCTCTCTTTGTCTTAACCTGGGAGCTGCCCTCTGACCCCCTCCTCTCTCTTTGTCCTCACACTTTCTTCTAACATCGCCTTCCATGGAGTTACATGACTCTCCTAGTCTTTCCTGTAGATACAATGCCCTCATACTCCTGCTAGGGTTGCCAGGTCCCCTCAAAGTCTCCAGTGGGGGACTTGGGGGGGGGGCATTACTGGAGGGGGTGGGGAGTTCCCAGCGTGATGATGTCACTCAGAACTAACATCATCACATTGGGGAGCAGAGGCTCTGCCTCTCCCCAGCTATGTTTAAAGGGTGTTTTTAAACCATGATGGGAAGGGGGGGGAGGCCGCACAAACCTGCATGCCAAGTCCTGAATTTGGGGCTCGAAGTGCAGGCACCCGGCTCTGCCTCCCCCCAGCAGCATTTAAAGCCTTCTTTTAAATGCTGCTGGGGAGGGGGAGGGAAGCCCTGCGTGCCTGCACGCCGGGCCCCAAATTCGGAGCTCGGAGTGTAGGCACATGGCCCCTGCCTCTCCCCTGCAGATATCTTTAAACACTGTTGGGAAGAGGTTGGAAGGAGGCCAGGTGGTCCCTCTTGGGGGCGGGCCTTCCCCCCCCACCAGCTGGCTTGCAGGTGGGAAGGAGCCCCTCCAAATTGGGCAATCCCCGCCAAACCGGAGGGGTCTGTCAAGCCTAACTCCCGTGCACATGATGCAGAACATGCTGGCCATTTGTGATCGGGAAAGTACTCTTAGACCATTTCCACAGAAGGGCAAACCCCTGCATCTGTGTTTTTAAACAACTGAAGTATGCAAAAGTCTCCACACAAAATCTTGCCTCCCCAGGAGTAGATCTGAATGTTGAGCTCCCCTCACTCCACGTTTTCCGAATTCCCCTTTCCTGCAATGTTTAGGCTTCTTTCTCTTCTTTTGACTGCAACCTGAATGTGGATCTACTTGAATTAATGCAAGTTTACCTTTTTTGCAATATACTCCTTGGGAGATTTATTTACTGCACTCAGACCGATTTCACACAAGAGCTGCACCGCGGTCGCACCTCCTTTTGCCCCGCTTCTATTGGTCAATTTCCCACTCGAAGCTGCGTGGCCGCATTTTGACCCGTGGCTTCACCCAATTTCCCCCACGGTTTCGTGATCCTGTTTTTTGAGTATCGGGCAAAGCCGCGGGTTAAAATGCGGCCGTGCGGCTTCGAGTGGGAAATTGACCAATAGAAGTGGGGCAAAGGGAGGCGCGACTGCGGTGCAGCTCTTGTGTGAAATCGGTCTCAGTATCATGCTTTATGACTGGACAAACTCTAATATATTAATCAAATATCCCAATAAAAACATGCTAATAAAAACAAGCTAAGTCAATTTAAAAGAGGAATAAAGTCTCATAAAACAAATAGAGCAATAAAAAGTGATGGTAACAGACTAGGCCTCAGGCTAAGAGTAGACCATAAAACACCCATGAAGAACCTCTTTGTTAAAAAGCCTGGATAAAGAGAAATGTTTGACCTGCTTGAGAAGATGATTCCAACTGGCAGACTGTGAGGGAGAAACATATCTCATATATTTAAAACCAAAGATGGCCCCTCCCTGGGCTGATCAAAAAATCAACAAGGGTAGGGGTATACAGGGACTAAGGTATAAGTATCAGAAATATTTGTAAAGAAAAAAAAGGAAGACGAGAGGTTTAAAAAAAATAAAATAAAATCAGGAGCAATAACTTCATACGGCTACTGTAGTAACCCCAAAGACAGCCTGACAATTGAAGGAAGCAAGTGTGTGTGGGAATGAAGCAGGGATGAAGACAGGAGTGAGGGAAACCCAAAACTGTGGCAGCTGTGTGTGTGTGTGGGAGAAGAGCTGGGAGAAGCAGTCTGGGGGAGGAGGGGTGAAGGAGAGCCAGCGAAGTGGGGGGATAGGGTTGCCAGGTCACCTGCTGTAGCAAGAGGCCTGTTGCCAGCAACCCCCCAACCCCCGCCTCTGCTTAGTAAGCCACTGGGGAGAAGATGCTGAAAAAATCATTGTTGCTCAATGGCATGATGATATTTCCAGGGCAAACCTGGAAGTGACATCATGCCATTCAAGGATTCAGCAGAAACTCTATAGTTTTATCATAGAGTTTTTACTGAATCCTAGAGAGGCGTGACACAACTTCCAGGTTCACCCTGGCAATGTCATGCTGTTCAGTGATGGTGCCACCCATGTCCCCCCACATTGAGCCACAGTCCCTCTGAGAAAGGCAAGCAGAGGAGAGAATGGGATTTCCTTTCACTGTGAATAATCTTTGAGGGCTGTTCTCTGGTATATCTAACTTTATGTATACAGACACATGTGCCAAATGGGGACCACTGGTCTGACCCAGCAGGGCTCTTCCTACATTCTAATGTTATGATTCTGTCCCCCAGACAAGGCCCCGCTCAACATGCTCTGAAAGTTGCAAGCCTGGAAGAAGCAAGGTGGTGCCAGAAGGACGGCTTGTTTGCTGCTATGATTGTGCTCTGTGCATGGAAGGGACTGTGGCCGTGCAGGCAGGTCAGTGGCCCGGAAGAAACCATGGGCATCGGTACAGTTTTTCCACCCTGAAAGCACTGGTAGAAAGTTTGGACGAGAAATGTTGCTGAAGTGAGGTCACATTGACAAGGTCCAGAAAGTCAAGGTGCAGATTCCCCCCCCCCCAAGGATGACATTTAAAGTAACCTTCAGCTGTGAATACATTTTGAGGAACTACTTCAGAGAACAGCTCCAAGTAAACTCAGGTTGTAGCCTGATCCTCTAAGTCCCCACAAAAAGCTGCACTTTCACTCTCAGCCATGGATGGCAATTAGCGCCTAACCGTAGCTATGGTGGGGCATTTTGGGGCCACACCCCCCCTTAATCACAAGCTATGTCCCACAAAACAGGCTTGAAAGCAGGCTACGGAAAAGATTGGAACAACTAGATGTTTTCTCGGGCTGTTTGAAACTGCCTTTAAATCGTTAGGCAAATATTCCTGCACTGAACTCTGTATTTATCAATGAATCTTTGTTACCTGAGATACAGGGGAAATGAGCCATACCCCCATTACAATAAATACGCCCCAGAGGACACTGAGGTCCACAAATCTACCAATTCCTGACACCAGGGACGTCCGACTGACTTTGACCAGGGCCAGGGCTTTCTTGGCCCTGGCCCCTTCTTGGTGGAATGAGCTTCCATATGAGATCAGGGCCCTGAGGGATCTATTACTGATCCACTGGACATACAAGATGGAGCTCTTCCACCAGGTCTTTGGTTGAGGTGGCAAATATCCCTCTTCCCTCCTGGCTATCTCCCCTCCAGTGGCATGGATCCAAATAGATATTGGGGTACCCACTGCCGAAATTTTTAAATAACATGTTTGACATTAGAACTAACTTGTTTGCATGGTATTTTATGGTTTTATTGTCTTAAATTGTTATTTTAATGGTTGTTTTAATGGCATTAGATTAAGATTGTTGTAAACCGCCCTGAGCCTGGCCGTGGGGAGGGCGGTATATAAATAAAATAAATAAAATAATACTTGGAGCTTCTGATGGATAACAGATAAACTTGAAGCTTCTAATATTGAAAGACAGACTTGTGGGAGAGAAGTCCATCTGTGGTTACTTGCTTTTGTGAGTGAAGGGAGCTTCCATCTTGTAGAGGCAGCAGGCCTCTGAATACTAATGCTGGGAGGCAGCAGCAAGGGAAGGCCTTGTCCTCTCTGGCCTGCTTGTTTGTCCCACCAGGGCCACAGGTTCGCCGCTGTGGGAAACAGGATGCGGTACTAGATGGAAGACTGGTCTGATCCAGTACGGCTCTTCTTATGTTCTTATGAAATATATTTTCCCCCAGATGCAAATCACTGTGATGA